TATATTTCGAAATTATGAACGATATTCGAGTGTATTTATAATCTTTGTGTGTGATTATATTTTGAAATGATAATTGATATTCGAGCACATTTATGATTTTTGAGAGTATGAGAATATATATTTGAAATATATATATATATATATATGATATTCTTGAGAATTTATCAGATCAATCAAAAACATGTAAAATAGTGAAAATAAGAACATGACTTTGCATTGAAATATTTTTATTACTTTTGTTTCTTACTATGTGTTTTGTATAAAATTTTATCTAGGTTAAAAGAATGAGAATACTTATTGAATTAGTAAAACTCATTAAATTTTACCCTAATATTTTTTAAAAGAGAATGGAGAACCAGCACTTCTGCCAGACGAGTAGAATGTGTGAAGGATTTTTTGTTTTTGTATATTTTGTACATAGTTGAAAAGTTTATTTTGTTCTGTTAGATTTTAAATTTTGACATTATATTTTGTATATATAATTACTGTATATATCACATTGAATATTATGTATTATATTTTTTTATTCACGCATGTATATATTTTATGAGTTCACTTGATGAAAATGACATGAATAAGAATTGCAGCTCATATCGAATATCAGAGCGTGACATGTAGACCATGAAGGAGCTTTAAGACTATCAAGATTATCCTATTGCAATTTTGAAATAATAGAGACCTCATAAAAGAAAAATGTAATTAAAGAAAAAATTGCATCTCATATCGATTATCAGATCGTAATACATGGACCATGAAGGAGCTTTAAGACTATTGAGATTATCCTATTGCAAATTTGAAATAACAAAGACCTCATAAAGGAAAAAAGTAATTGAAGAAGCTAATTAACGATATTGTAATATTTCTTTTATTCTTTTAGGTTTTAGTTTAGTTTCGATTTTGGTGTATTATAAATCCTTCATCCCCTTTTAGATTTGTGAATGTGGTAATATTAGAGATAAAAATTAAAAAATAATATAAATAAATAATTATAAAAATTATCATAAAATAAAATAAAATAAAATAATTAACATATATGCTAATCACAATTTATATTATAATATACATAAGGAGATGGATGCCTCATATTTTATTAATTCGTAAAAATGTTGGATTAAAAATTTTCAAAAATTAACTAATGAATTACTCTTTATTTAAGATCAATGATAATTTTAAATTTTAAATTTTATATTTTTATGAAATTTTTGTCATTATATTATCAATGTGACAATATATATATATATATATATATTATAAATATAAGGAAGTGCTATGATAAAAAAAAATTTAAGAAAACCATGATAAGTACAAAATGCTAGAGCTATGATTGATGAAATATTATTTTTAGGATCCAAGTACAACAAGCCAAAGGATTTACTGAGAAGATTTCATATGAATAATTGAAAGCCAATATCAACTACTTCCATGTAAAATAAAAAGATATAGTTGAATGATGGTACACCGAAAGAATAAGGTTGGGATTTACTATGTCAAAAGAAAAGAAAA